AGGAGATCGGGCTGAAACTATAGCTACAAGCTATCCAAGGATGGTACTATAGAATGTCACCTCAAGGTAGGCCTAGTGGCGTCATCTCTTGGTTAGGCCGGAAACTTATCAATCCACCCTCGTAATAAAACTTACAAAACTGACAAATAACGTATATTATATAATTTAGTGGAAGGTCTCACCGGTAACATTCCTGTTGCGAAATGTTTTTATAAGGATTTAATTAATGTCTCATGTTTATAAATGTATATAGAAAGCTCTGGAAACCAGAAGTGTAGTGACTTTGATTTTGGTTATATCTAAGGAAATGCATTTCAATGTTGTTATACAGGATATGAGCCATTGAATACGTAGAATTAATTCCTTCGCTTTTATAACGTCTTGCAGATAATGACATTGCCGTTAATCTGCGCTAGTCGATTAAACATATACTGGCCTGCTCATTGCTAGAACAATACGTACCATTTTTAACCGACTTAATAAGGTTCTTACAAGTTTTTTTTTTTTGTAGGTTTGTTACGCGATTACTTCGCCAATTATGAATAGATTTTGATGATTCTTTTTTTGTTTGGTAGGTCATGCTTCAGAGGTGGTCCCATATAAATTTTATCGAAATTAATCCGGTGCTTTTTCAAAAAAACAACAAATGCAAAAAAAATATATGTACACTAAAAATTGAAAAATAGAGAGTTTATAATTGAAAAGTTAATTTTTAAAACATGTATAAACTTAAACTAAAAAGTAGAAAATAATATTTTAATTACTTCAAAGTAAAGTATATTACAGACAATCGATAAAATAATTGATACTAATACACATTGTTATTGGAGTCGGTTTCAATCAAAGCAAAAATAGCCTTAATAGATACCTACTTGATTAATCAATTAATATATTAATACGAAAGTAGAGATTAGATAAAAGAAATCGAACGAAGACTTTGTTGCAAAGGCAGGATTAAACTGTCCTTCTTGACTGGGACCTGCTCTAAAAGTGATTATAAACTATAAGGTACATAAATATCAGTGATTTTGTCGATTGTTCTGTAATGCACATTACTTTGAAATAATTAATTTAATACAAGTTTTTAATTAATCTACAAGTTATTTCTTAAAAATTAATTTTAGGCTTATTTAAAAACAGCAATAAAAAAGGAAATATTTGGTTCGACTACTAATCCTTTTCAATTCATACAAGGAGTTGCCTGTATGCGAACAGCCTTGATGTCACCTTGCACTGTCACATTAATATATAATTCTGTATATAAGGATACATCAATATTCACTCCAGTTATAACATATCCGACAGAAGATAATAACAATTTCCTTCTAGAGAGAAAGCGCACTTTTCTTATCTTGTTCCGAATATTATCAAATCCGAACAAAATAGTACTATGTGTACAGAATGTTCAATAAATGAACAACACCTTAAAAGTACTAATACCCCGAGTTACGAGCTACGAGTTCCTTACTTATACTTGTATGCATTTTTTAATTGAATTTAGAAAATTCTCATGAAAAAGAATTGAAAATTCCTCAAATATAGATAGTACACTTTCATTTACTTTATTCAAATTTATTTTGATACATGTATTCATTTTGGAACTAGAGATAGCTTTAAATAAAATGGAAACGGTATTGTGAAAACAGAATTGCATGAAAATAAATAAAATTAAAACAAAATTCCTGGTATGAAAGGGAGGAAAAAGTAAGAAAACAACAAATATAAATTTAGGAGATAAAAGATTAGAAGAAGTGGCTGATTTTAGGTATCTAGGAAGTCAGATAAGTCAGGACGGAAGGAGTAGAAGGGATATAAAGCAGAAGATAGAGCAGGGTCGAGTCGCCTTCAACAAAAAAGTCACTTCTATGCTCGCAAACGATTAATTTCAAAATTCGAAGAAGATTGTTGAAGGCGTATGTTTGGAGAGTGGCGCTGTACGGGTGCGAAACATGAATGGTGGAAAAGAAAAGTTAAAAACGTTCGAAGTATGATGAAGATACCTTGGATAGAAAATGTTAGAAATGCAGAGGTATTAGAAAGAATAGAAGAACAGAGGACTCTATGGAAGTCAATAAAAATATAAATAGGCGAGATAGGTTGGTAGGACACCTTCTTAGGTATGGAGGTCTAGTCAGAGACATATTAGAGGTAGAAACAGGAGTTAGGAGGGGTAGAGGTAGACCTAGATTAAATTACTGTTCGCAAATAGTTAAGAATGTGCACGGTTCTAGTTTTAGGGAAATGCGAAGATTAGCTCAGGATAGAAAGGAATGGAGGAGCGTGACCAACCAGCCTTAGGACTGAGGACCTTAAGATGATGATGATAGGTTGGTAGGACACCTTCTCAGGCATGGAGGTCTAGTCAGAGACATATTATAGGCAGAAACAGAAGTTAAGAGGAGTAGATGTAAACCTAGATTAGATTACTGTTCACAGATAGTTAAGGATGTGGGATGTTCTAGTTTTAGGGAAATGCGAAGATTAGGTCAGGATAGAAAAGAACGGAGGAGCGTGTCCAACCACTCTTAGGACTGACGACCTTATGATGATAATAATTCACTTTTTAATATGTCTAGCTGGTTGGGTTTGATCGTAATAATATTCTAAGTCCTAAATACTTGACCACCAAAAACAACAACGCCCTGTACCTCAAAATAAACAAACAGTCGTATGTTTCCTCGGACATGCATCCTGCCTACTTTGATTTCGCAATCGACTTCCATCCGAATAGGAAATTTCTTCAATAATGTTGTTTACAATAATAACAAACGTCTTTTAATTCCGATCCAATGGCATCCAAAAAAAATTAATAAATCTATTAAAATGCAGCGTTAGAAATCGAACGAATGGTTATCGAATGCGTGTGTATAACTGCACACGATTAACGACTAATTAATTTAATTTGCCAGTTGTGCCAGGTTCATTTGCAATTTCTTCGACAGTCTGTGCATACAATAATTGCATACACGTGTACGGAAATACCCCTGTTCGGAAATAGTGTTTACTTTGGTCGAAGGGAGGGCTTAGGGGAAAGCAAATCTATATATTCGTCCACAGTTTCGTTACATTAAACAGTTTTGGCAACAAGTGTGAATGAGTCTTTGGAAGAATGAGACTCTTAGTAAGTTTCACTTGTTTTCAAAAAAATAATAGTAATTTGTTCTGTTGTGACTTGTGACGTTTGTGTGTAATTGTTGGTATTATACGTACGCCGCGTGAATTTTTATGATTAGTGGAAACGTAGTTAAAAATAGTGTTCGCAACGCAGGATTAACAATATCCATTATTTTATATATATATATCTCTATTGCTCCTTCGATCCTGTATTATCTGGATTTTTAGATACCGAAATTTTATTTTCGTCTTCTTCTAATTTTTCGTAGTTTTCTTGTTTCTGGAAATCTATACACACTAGTTTTTTACCCCTGTATATCTATTCCTAAAATTGTCCTGCCTGACAAGGATGAGTTAGAGATAGCCTTAACTAAAATTGAAGCGGTATTGACAAAACGTTATTGTATGAAAATAAATAAAAGTAAAACAAAAATATAGGTACGCAAGGGAAGAAAAAAATAGGGAAAGAGTGGATATAAAGATTAAAAAGTAAAAATTAGAAGAAGTCATCGATTATCTGTATCTAAGCAGTCAGACAATTCAGGATAATAGAAGCAGTAAGGACATAAAACAAATGATAGCGCAGGGAAAATGCGGAGATTAGCTCATGATACAAAAAAGTAGAGGTGCATGTCCAAGGACCGTATGATAAGTATGATGATGTTTAATAACAGCAGGGAAATGGGTAGACAGATTCATAATTGATTTTGGTAGGGTATTCCTTTCTTTCTTTAAGGTAAATATCGAATGTTAAAATATGTAATCGATCGATCCTTATGTTTCGTACAAGAACTAGGAGAACAAGATCCTCGCTAGATCCTTGCGAAAAAAAACTTTGGATTTTGGTAGTCCTCGACGTATAGATCAAAAGTCTCAATGGAACTAAGTCGTAATAACCCATCTTTTTAAGACATAATCCCTTAAACTAGCATTCTTCCATGAGGACTTCCAAAGTACGCATTACGTGACCATTTCTCAAAAAGATGAAGTTTTACGAATTAGCGCCCATCAAGATTGTTGATCTACACGTCAAGAACTATTAGAATCCTTCATGCTTCAATGAGTTTGATAGCTTAAAATTTTCTTGAAATAGATTACTGAATCTCATTTAATAACTACTGTGATCCCCTAGACAAAAATTTTCAGTCTCTCAGAGTCTTTCAGCGTCTCTGAGAGCGTCTCTCACAGTCTCTCAATTATAGCCTAGGTGTTTTTATGGATCTCTCATAGTCTCTGTATTAGAGACTCGAACGATAAAATTATTAATTTAGAGATTCGATTCTCTCGTTCAGAAACTGGATACGAAATAAGGATCTCTCTACGAGCGATTCGAGTCTCTCGTTCAGAGACGCTAAACGGTTTTTTGACAGTCTCTCTCAGCGACACCAGAGAGACTCAATGAGAGATTCTGAGAGACTGAACATTTTTATCTCGGGTCAAGAATTGTGTTTTTTATTAATACATTTTACAAGTCCTAATAGTAGCAAGTCAAAGAAGGTATTATTGGATACCTACGTGCCCACCTTTGTATGTACTCAGTGGGTAAATGGACCACTTCACATTTACCTACATTCATGTCTATATCCGATTCAATTCACTTCCTGAACATTATGCAAAGATTATTAATTTACCACAGACCAACAGTTTTGAAAGGCGCTAACCTTTGAACACATGAACTTATGTTGTCTGATTGAATTAGTACATATGAACTGGACCCCAAAACAAAATTAATAATTTCTCAACTTTTATAATTATTTCAGGTAATCATAAAGATTAAAATAAATTTAAAATGAAAGACATGCAATAATTTTCATATTTTACTATCGCAAATAATAAATTCACTGAAAAGGAAAATAGAAAATCCGAATCGAATAATTAAATAGGTGAAAGAATATTTATGAATAATTAACGTAAAAGCAAATGTAGTTTAAGTATTACCACAGAGAATTGATATTTAATATTAAATCTTCAGAAATATAAGTCGAACTNTTAATCTTAATCTCTCATTCTGTCCTATAGGTCTTTATTGCCTGCCTCAGTCTTTGTTTTCTTCTCTCACATGGAAGACAAGAGGAGAAGAAGGTCAAAAGGAAACGATACGATTATACGCAGTTCAGTAACGACAACCTAAACAACAGAAGAAGCGACGACTGGTCATTAAAACGCGAACTTTCCAGGCAAGAATTGGGTAATTATAACCAGGATACTCGACAACACAAAAAACACGATCAACTTGAAGAAGAATTCGACATTCCTGTAAGTCGTCAGCAACAAATATTGGAACATTCCCAACATCATCATCACGAGAACTGCGATCATCCATACGAATTTAGTAAACAAAGTCAAGATCAGGGATCCGAAATCCGAGCAGAAGACGAAGAAAAAGAACGAGAGGGAATTGTCGAAAAGGAATTTGATAGTTCAAACGAGGAACAAGAGCACAATCCCGAAAGGATAGAAAATTTTGAACTTCCAAAAGAACAGGAAGAATCCAAAACAGATACTGAACCACGACAGAAAATCGAACAAGTCGAAAATGACTTCGAATTCACCAAAGAAAACTTAGATCCAAAGTTCCGAAGTCAGCAAAACTCAAAGCCTGAAAAATTGGAGAACGAATATGACAATCAAAGAATCCCAAGCAGACTAGAAGATGACTACGCACAATCCAAAATCAAAACCGAAAGCGAAATAAAAACAAAAAAGATTATTGAACAGCCCGATGGAATCGACCAAAAAGCGAAACTATCTGACAAAATGCTTGAACAACAAAATAAGGAAGTCCTGCGAAAGCAAAAGCAAGGTTTCGAGAAATTCGAACAAGAATACCTGCTCCAAAAGAAAAACAATCAAAAAACAGAAACTCAGAAAATTGAACTAACATCTTATAAACTTCCCAAAGAAAACACAGAGGAGCTAAACAAGTTTGATTACCTTAAAGACTACAAGTTCGAAGTCCCTAAGCAACTGGAAGACTTCGAGAACGAGCCGAAATTTGAATTTCGTAGAGTTGAGCATGTATATGAATCGCCTATAGACATAGATAACTACGGTTTTCCTAAAAAGATCAAATTCGACGAATTCCGTCTGGAAATCCCAGAAGAGAAGAAGACTCACTTGAAAAAAAATGAGCCAAACGAATTAAGACCTCTTCAAAATGGATATCTGGTAATGGAGGATCAACATAATGAATTTCAGAAATTTGCTCAACCTCAGTTTGGGGCAGTTAAGGAGATGAAACAGTTGAATGAGTTCCAAAAATTTTCCGAGGAACAATTCAGTGCAGTTAAAAATCTAAAACCTGTTGCTCAAAAGTTGACCAAGGACAACTCAGACTTCTTAAAACAAAGTGCACCAAACACATTCCAACAAGCGACTTCAACAGGGGCGTTTAAACAGGAGTCATACGAAGAACAAAAGAAAGAGCATAAAGGAGACATTATGCATGAAACAAAACAAGAATCATTTAGGAATGACGAAGGTCTTGGAAGTTACAAACAACAATCCTCTAGGGATGACGAAGGTTTAAGTAGTTATAAACAGGAAGGTTTTAGAAACGACGAAGGTCTAAGTAGTTATAAACAGGACTCCTCCAGGAATGACGAAGGTCTAAGTAATTATAAAACTGAATATTCAGATACGCTTTCAGAAAATACGGAAAAAGAAGGTACCGCAGAAATGTTGAGGCAAGAAGAACCAAGCCCACTGCTAGACAAAGCACCGGAAACTTTTAAACAGGAAACAAAAGAACCGCTCACCGGGGATACTGAAATGTCGAAACAAGATACGTACAAGAAATGTGATTATTCGTTCCCTGAAGAAAAGAATACGTACAGAAATGAAGAAACGAAAGAGGAGAACTCCAAAATGGACCGAAAAATTCAGCCGATCAAAACAGAACATAACACGCAAAAGCAAGAAGCAAAAAAACCTCTAAAAAAGCATAAAACAATCGCAGAATGGCACTTCGAAATACAACACTCCAAGCCATCGCGTAACATGCAGGAACAGCAAAAGGTTGAAAAGAGTTACCACTATCACCTAGAACAGAAAAGCAATGACGATGGTCATCACCAACAACAGATGAAACAGAATTCAAAGCAGCAAAAGCATAGCAGTTATAATGAAGAACATCAACAACAACAGCATTACGAGCACGATCAAGAGAATGGAAATCATAAAGACCAACAAAGACTGCACCAACAACAGGAAGAGGAACGATTTGAAGAGCAAGAAGACCGGGAAGAGTACAAAAGTGACAAACAACAACATCAGAGTCAAAAACAACATTACCAGACTCAAAAACAGCAGCACCAAAACCAAAAACAGCACCAACAGAGGCAAAAACAACATCAAGAGCAGCAGCAACAACAGCATAGGTACGAACACAATTTGCAGCATTTTCAGAAACAACAGATTCGTAAAGAGCAGAGCCATCACTTCCAAAAGCAGCAGCAGCATGCCAAACAAACGAAACAAAGTCATACATCCCATTACCACAGAACAGAACAACAGCAACACCACCACCAGAAACATCAACAAAGACAGCAAACTCATCATCGAAGTCACCAAAGACAAAGACAACACGACCAACACTACGACCATCATCAAGGACAGCGACACCAGCAAAGTAGCGGCAGGAAAACGCAAAAGAAGCAGCGGATCGTGAAAATAGAGAAGGAAGTGAAGGTGCCATACAAAGTAGAAAAGATAATACAAGTACCCGTAGAAAAGAGGGTCCCTTACCCGGTCAGGGTGGAAGTACCTCAACCATACCCCGTTATAAAAAATGTTCCGCACCACGTCAAAGTTGAAGTGAAGGTACCAGTAGCCGTTCCCGAACCGTATCCAGTGGAAAGGATAGTCAATGTTCCTGTACCTGTTAAGGAAGATAAACCTTTTCCCGTCGAAGTTAAAGTACCGCAACCGTATCCAGTGGTGAAGGAAGTCAAAGTACCGTACGAGGTGAAAGTTCCATACAGGTATCCGGTTGAGAAGAAAGTTTCACACCCAGTTAGAGTCGAGGTCAAAGTACCGAAACCGTATCCGGTAGAGAAAATAGTACGAGTGCCTGTCAAGGTGGAAGTGGAAAGGCCTGTACCGTACGCGGTATACAAACCGTATCCGGTAAACGTTGAAAAGAAAGTTGGTGTCCCATATTCGGTTGAAAAACCTTACCCTGTGAAGTTGCATTATGACAGGCCGGTTTTGATACCAGTAGAGAAAAAAATACCGTACAAAATAGAAGTGCCTGTGTCTAAACCGTATCCGATCGAGAAGAAAATCGAAGTACCAGTTTACAAAGATGTCAAGTATCCCGTAAAGATCCCAACTGAAAAACTGGTTCCGTACGAAGTGGTTAAACATAAACCCATCGTTTACGAGAAGAAGCTCCCGTATCTGGTCCAAGAAAACCACAACGAGGGTTTCAAGCACCATCATCAAATGAGTTTTCAGCCAACTCGTAGGTTTGACTTTTTGAAAGAAGACTGGAAATGGTGACCGTCGATGGTACCCAATCAACTGTTAGATTTTTATTTTATTTTCATTTTTAATTAGTCAATCAGTACAAGTTCATATAGTACACGTACATAACGTTACTGTGTATAATAAATAATTATTGTTATTTGTACATATGTTTTTCAAGCTTACAATGTTTTAATTTGCAAGCACACAGTTTACACGTTGAACCTAACTTTATTTACTATGAAATAACTATTTAAATAATGTTAAATAATACAATTGCTAGTTTATATATTTTATTGTTTTATTATTTATTATTAAATTATCCTATTCCTTTATCCACTCATACATGTGTGTACTAAGTTCAACTTTATACGAAGCAGATTATCTTCAAGGAAAGATAGAAAGTCAAGAAGTAATACCTAGATGACTTTTTAAAATATTTTTTAATGAAAATGTTTGTTTTATCAAAAAAAAGACTAGATACTTTTACTAAAAGAACCTTCCTCATTGAGTAATTACATATAGAGGAATTACGAAATATTTTGGTGAAGATGAAGAGTCAAAATAAGAAAATGTTTTTTTTTTCACCAGAAGCGCTCATATGCGATGTATATGTATCTTTTCCTTCTAATAATAATATTTAAATTTTTTTTGTTAGAATTATTTATCTTTGAATTATTGAAAATCTCTTGATTATTAATTTTAACACAAATTGCAGAATGGGAAGCAGTTATATAACGCATAAATAACACATAAGGTACGCTTTCACTGTGCACATAAAACAGAAATAATTTGTTAATTGTTTACAGATATAATAGTTTAAACTAAACGTGTCTATATGTATGTTTTAATTAGAGTACTGCACTTTTTCGTTAGATTAGAAAGTACCATTAAATAAGTACGATATCTTTATTTCTATTTATGATAATAATATTAATATTAAGAACAGTTTTACATTTTCCATAACTAATTATGTTGTTTATATAAAGGCTTATCGGTCGGTTCATTTTCAACTGTATGCGTTACATTTAGGCATTCAAGAGTCTAAAAATAAATAATCAGCTGAAGTTGCTTTTTAACCGACTTCAAAAAAAAGAAGTTCTTAATTCGTAGGAATCTTTTTTTTTATGTATATTCCCCGATTACTCGAAGACAGCTGGACCGATTTGAGAAATTCTTTTTTTGTTTAACTGGGTATACCTGTCAAGTGGTCTCATTGGCACCAAGTCAGGGTTTGATGATGGGATCTCAGAAAAATCGAGGGCAACCCTCAAATTTTTATATGGGCGTATAACATGTTTTATGTATTTTGTAAAACTATTCAAGTATTTGCGTCTGATATTCATCACCTCGTGTTGCTGAGTTGATTACGGAAACTATAACTCCTTAAACATTTGGAGTTAGTGGATAATTATTTAAATATTAAAGGCTCGTATAGACCGCTACTTATATTCCTTTGAGTTCCTGTATGTTTGTTACGCAATTACTCCGTCAATTGTAAATTGATCTTTTATTTAGTAGGTCATACTTCATACTAAAAAGAAGGAAAAAAGTCACTTCTATGCTTCCGAACGGTTAATTTAGAAATACGAAAAAAAAATTCTGACGCGTTCGAAATGTGATGTTACCGGCGAATGACGAGAATAATGTTAGAAAAGGTTAGAAATAAAGATGTATTAGAAAGAATAGGAGAATAGAGGACTTTATGGAAGTCAATTAAAAATAGACAGGACACCTTCTCAGGCAATAAGATCTAGTCAGACATATTGAGGCAGAAACAGGAGTTAAGAGGTAGACCTATATCAAATTACTGTTCGCAAATAGTTAAAGATGTGGGATGTTCTAGTTTTAAGGAAATGCGAAGATTAACTCAGGATAGGAAAGAGTGGAGGTACGTGTCCAACCAGTCCAACGCGACCAACACTACGACCATCATCAAGGACAGCGACACCAGCAAAGTAGCGGCAGGAAAACGCAAAAGAAGCAGCGGATCGTGAAAATAGAGAAGGAAGTGAAGGTGCCATACAAAGTAGAAAAGATAATACAAGTACCCGTAGAAAAGAGGGTCCCTTACCCGGTCAGGGTGGAAGTACCTCAACCATACCCCGTTATAAAAAATGTTCCGCACCACGTCAAAGTTGAAGTGAAGGTACCAGTAGCCGTTCCCGAACCGTATCCAGTGGAAAGGATAGTCAATGTTCCTGTACCTGTTAAGGAAGATAAACCTTTTCCCGTCGAAGTTAAAGTACCGCAACCGTATCCAGTGGTGAAGGAAGTCAAAGTACCGTACGAGGTGAAAGTTCCATACAGGTATCCGGTTGAGAAGAAAGTTTCACACCCAGTTAGAGTCGAGGTCAAAGTACCGAAACCGTATCCGGTAGAGAAAATAGTACGAGTGCCTGTCAAGGTGGAAGTGGAAAGGCCTGTACCGTACGCGGTATACAAACCGTATCCGGTAAACGTTGAAAAGAAAGTTGGTGTCCCATATTCGGTTGAAAAACCTTACCCTGTGAAGTTGCATTATGACAGGCCGGTTTTGATACCAGTAGAGAAAAAAATACCGTACAAAATAGAAGTGCCTGTGTCTAAACCGTATCCGATCGAGAAGAAAATCGAAGTACCAGTTTACAAAGATGTCAAGTATCCCGTAAAGATCCCAACTGAAAAACTGGTTCCGTACGAAGTGGTTAAACATAAACCCATCGTTTACGAGAAGAAGCTCCCGTATCTGGTCCAAGAAAACCACAACGAGGGTTTCAAGCACCATCATCAAATGAGTTTTCAGCCAACTCGTAGGTTTGACTTTTTGAAAGAAGACTGGAAATGGTGACCGTCGATGGTACCCAATCAACTGTTAGATTTTTATTTTATTTTCATTTTTAATTAGTCAATCAGTACAAGTTCATATAGTACACGTACATAACGTTACTGTGTATAATAAATAATTATTGTTATTTGTACATATGTTTTTCAAGCTTACAATGTNAAATTAACTTGCGAAATTTGCTATTAAATGAAATTGTTTGAATTGTTTTTATGGACGGGTACTTTCAATGTTACAATATAGAGCAACCACAACAAGCCATTGAATTATCATTGGCATATTTTTTATTTAAGTAGTTTGCGCCACTTGTAGGAGATAGATTAAAAAGTAGCAATACTAATGTGTACCCTTGTCTGAATCCCTTATCAATATTTAGTTTCTTCGCTGCTGTTCAGAATCTGTTAATCTATTTTCAAATTATTCATTAATTGAGAGCCCAACATGGGGATATCCTACTACAAATAAACAAAGAAATGTTTAATTTCCATGTCCGGTAAGCGTTTTTCTTTTCCTGTAGGTATGTCACTCTACTCTATCCATGCATTTTTAAGTATAACAGTATGTGGGTTAATTCCCTATTTGATATTGTTTAAAACTTTTTCTAGATGTAATATGAATTCTATATATGGGCTTTTTCATTTTTGTACGTTGTCTCTAATATTACCCGAAAAGCTAAAAAGGCCTCTCATTGGTTCTTCCTTCTTATTTTACACCCAAATTGGTTTTCCCCTAACACTCGCACTTTTCAAATCTTTCTTTTGACGATTGAATTTTTGACGTGTGTTCTAAATTTTTTGTATCTGTTTGAATAACTACTACATGTTCCGTTTGTAATTACCCTGTTTTCCGTCTAGCATATGCGATTGTCTAACATACAAACATTCGCAACCACATGGTCTATGCGTTTTAAAATTTCCGCCTATATTATTTAATGCTAACCCAAATTCGTGTTTGTACTGGTGCGAAACGTGGACAATGGACGCTCAAAATGTGGTGTTGTAAGCAAATGACGAGAATACTGTAGATAGAGAAGACTAGAAATGAGATGTTAGAAAGAGTAGGAGAACAGAGAGCTCTACGTCAATAAAAAATAGGCGAGGTATATTGATAGGACACATTCTCAGGTACAAAGGGTTAGTTAGAGACATATTAAAAGCAGAAACAGAATTAAGAGGGTGGAAGCAGACTTAGATTAGATTACTGTTCACAAATATGTAGATAAAGATGTGGGATGTTCAATTTTTAGGGAAATGCGAAGATTAGCTCAGGATAAGAAAGAGTAGAGGTGCATGTCCATCTATGATAATGATGATTACTCAAATCTTCCCTGACTATGGGGTAACCTAATTTATTATCTCTGCCCTGTCTTTTTGTAATACATTTCCTAACTCTTGACATGGGTATACATAGATTTAATTCGTCTCCTACCACGTTTCCTAAGCTACCACTGCTGTAGTTTCATCAGTTTAATCTGCATCAAATTTCTTCTTTATACCCTTTATTAAATTATCGATCCGCTATTGTTTAGGATATGCTTAGAGAATGTTCAGGGACTACTTGACTACCACACAAGATATTGCAATGGTTTTAAAATCAAACTTTTATTCTAATTCTATTTTCATGAGTAATATAATTTATAAATTGTTAATAACATTCTCCGTGTAACGTAATGGTGGGCAACATAACAAGCACTAATGATGTTGCTTGCCTATTTTCAGACTCATCAGAAACACTTTTTACATTCACATTGTCTACATTTAAGGAGTAAAAAGTTACGAAATCTTTTAGGGCAATTCACTGACGAAACGAAGACGCCATCCTCTATGAAATTTGTTTAAATAAATAATTGCTAAAATTAATAAACAATACGTATTACCTAATACAAAAATGCTTACTTGTTCCTTTATATATATATATCTCTATTGCTCCTTCGATCCTGTATTATCTGGATTTTTAGATACCGAAATTTTATTTTCGTCTTCTTCTAATTTTTCGTAGTTTTCTTGTTTCTGGAAATCTATACACACTAGTTTTTTACCCCTGTATATCTATTCCTAAAATTGTCCTGCCTGACAAGGATGAGTTAGAGATAGCCTTAACTAAAATTGAAGCGGTATTGACAAAACGTTATTGTATGAAAATAAATAAAAGTAAAACAAAAATATAGGTACGCAAGGGAAGAAAAAAATAGGGAAAGAGTGGATATAAAGATTAAAAAGTAAAAATTAGAAGAAGTCATCGATTATCTGTATCTAAGCAGTCAGACAATTCAGGATAATAGAAGCAGTAAGGACATAAAACAAATGATAGCGCAGGGAAAATGCGGAGATTAGCTCATGATACAAAAAAGTAGAGGTGCATGTCCAAGGACCGTATGATAAGTATGATGATGTTTAATAACAGCAGGGAAATGGGTAGACAGATTCATAATTGATTTTGGTAGGGTATTCCTTTCTTTCTTTAAGGTAAATATCGAATGTTAAAATATGTAATCGATCGATCCTTATGTTTCGTACAAGAACTAGGAGAACAAGATCCTCGCTAGATCCTTGCGAAAAAAAACTTTGGATTTTGGTAGTCCTCGACGTATAGATCAAAAGTCTCAATGGAACTAAGTCGTAATAACCCATCTTTTTAAGACATAATCCCTTAAACTAGCATTCTTCCATGAGGACTTCCAAAGTACGCATTACGTGACCATTTCTCAAAAAGATGAAGTTTTACGAATTAGCGCCCATCAAGATTGTTGATCTACACGTCAAGAACTATTAGAATCCTTCATGCTTCAATGAGTTTGATAGCTTAAAATTTTCTTGAAATAGATTACTGAATCTCATTTAATAACTACTGTGATCCCCTAGACAAAAATTTTCAGTCTCTCAGAGTCTTTCAGCGTCTCTGAGAGCGTCTCTCACAGTCTCTCAATTATAGCCTAGGTGTTTTTATGGATCTCTCATAGTCTCTGTATTAGAGACTCGAACGATAAAATTATTAATTTAGAGATTCGATTCTCTCGTTCAGAAACTGGATACGAAATAAGGATCTCTCTACGAGCGATTCGAGTCTCTCGTTCAGAGACGCTAAACGGTTTTTTGACAGTCTCTCTCAGCGACACCAGAGAGACTCAATGAGAGATTCTGAGAGACTGAACATTTTTATCTCGGGTCAAGAATTGTGTTTTTTATTAATACATTTTACAAGTCCTAATAGTAGCAAGTCAAAGAAGGTATTATTGGATACCTACGTGCCCACCTTTGTATGTACTCAGTGGGTAAATGGACCACTTCACATTTACCTACATTCATGTCTATATCCGATTCAATTCACTTCCTGAACATTATGCAAAGATTATTAATTTACCACAGACCAACAGTTTTGAAAGGCGCTACGGTTACGTTTGAACACATGAACTTATGTTGTCTGATTGAATTAGTACATATGAACTGGACCCCAAAACAAAATTAATAATTTCTCAACTTTTATAATTATTTCAGGTAATCATAAAGATTAAAATAAATTTAAAATGAAAGACATGCAATAATTTTCATATTTTACTATCGCAAATAATAAATTCACTGAAAAGGAAAATAGAAAATCCGAATCGAATAATTAAATAGGTGAAAGAATATTTATGAATAATTAACGTAAAAGCAAATGTAGTTTAAGTATTACCACAGAGAATTGATATNTAAAGTGTTTTTGCATATATGTTTAAAGTGGGGTAGGCAAACTAAATCCTTGTTAAGCAGAAAAAGGCGACTATCCACAAACGATCTAAAAAATTATAGTAATTACACTATCGGCCTAATTACACCTGATGGTAAGAAGACCAAGAAGCCTACACTCGGTAGGTCCATCAGTAAAATTTTCACTTTCTATCTCTCTAGGTTATGTATGAACGTACACATTTACGATGATGAACGAATTTTTTCTTTATTTGATGAGACTGCGGCCTTCATTACTTTCAATCTTCTGTTTGATTAACGGCATATTTTTTATACGTCCAGAGCACATAAATAACATCGTCTATCAACACACTAGCAATAAATTGCTCTTCACTTCCTATTTATCATTTGCCACAAGTTATCTTTCTAATGCATGCTTGAATAAGTCAAAACTGTATTTTACTTTTCTCATAATATGTTGACGTTACAATTTATATGGGATGGTATATTGATAGAAGGTCTTCTTTCTATTAAAATATACAACTCAACAATAGTTCCTGTAATTACGCATCAAGAGAAGAAAGTGCATGCAGCATTCGCTCCCGTACGTTAATTATCACCTTGGAAGATAGGGTTCTTCTTGAGAGGCGTATTCTTTTTTCTAGGGATGAAAGTAAAAGAAAAATTTAAACTTTTGGGTGTTTCATACCCACCAGCCACTAATGCTGGTGGGCGTGCAGTCCCTTCGGGCTATGCCGGAAGGTAGAGCGGAAGGCACTCTTCGGTTCCTTTTCAGAAATCGTGGGAATGGGTGGATGGTGGTTCGGATGAGAAAGATGAGACGGACAAAATGAAGACAGAAGAGAATGAAAGGTTATCTGTGGAATATTACTGCCCCAGCATTTGCCTAAGTGATCCAAGGAAACCACAGGAAAACTTGGACCAAGGCAGACGCACCCGGAATCGAACCCGCGTCCTCCCGAATGCTAAGCAATGGTCTAAACCTCTATAGGCCATGCCGCTCGGTAGGGATGAAAATCTAACACGGATGTATTTAAACTAATCCGACCCCTACCCAAAACATGTAAATTCATCCGATGAGACATGCAATAATTTTCATATTTTACTATCGCAAATAATAAATTCACTGAAAAGGAAAATAGAAAATCCGAATCGAATAATTAAATAGGTGAAAGAATATTTATGAATAATTAACGTAAAAGCAAATGTAGTTTAAGTATTACCACAGAGAATTGATATTTAATATTAAATCTTCAGAAATATAAGTCGAACTGACATAAGGTCGTTTTCAAGTGTACGGTTTCGCGTCAATAGTTTATTATAGCTAGAGGCAGTTCAGAATTTCATGGATCATGACCCACAGATGTGTACAGCGTCAAAACTCCGTTCCTTTATTGATTTCTGTATTTCGATCCCTTAAAAAGATTTGTCGCCACTGGTCACAGTTTATAGCT